TACCCTTTTCAAATGCCAGAGTGCTCAAACTGCAAGCAGTGAGCATGCGCACAATGCGTAATATATATATATATACTGTATATAGTTTGCTGTACTATTGTCAATGTCTGGGCAAATCAGTTTGAATCAGTAATACCGACAGTGTGACTAGATTTTAATTACTTTTGGTAATATTTCACGATTTTTTTTACTTTTTTGGTACCCTATGTTCTTAGGAAGTGCCCTAACGAGAGGCAGCAACCCCCTGAAAACATATTGAAATTTAACCTTCCATTTCGCTACACTTTTACGCTTATTTTCGCGAAAACAATGTAAATGAATATTTTAGGTCTTCGTTTTCCGGTAGTACGAAAACAAAGATGGGTCTTCGTTTTCGTAATTACGGAAGACCGGCGAAGACCCATCTTAGGTCTTCGGTCTTCGTTTTCGTAGGTCTTCGTTTTCGAAACACCCTGATAATATACTACAATCCAGGGCTCAAAATAACGGGAGATAGGTCTCCGGTCAAAATGACCGATCAACTTGATTTTAGCTCGGTCAAAATCTGTTTTTGACCGGTTATATTGATACGCTTACACTAACAGTGAAACAAAGTATTAAAAACTTGTTTCGATATATCATAGTTTTAATTCAAGACGTCAGCAATCACATTGGATGGGATGAAAGTGTGGCCGGTCAAAATGACCGGTTAGGTAAAAAAATGACCGGTCAAGAGGCACTTTTGGCCGGTCATTGTCCGTTGACCGGATGTTATTTTGAGCCCTGCAATCTCAATGTCATTTCCTTAAACATTTGTGAAGTTCTTTGACTCATGTGGTTGCTGCATCATTTCAGGCAAATATGGTAGCATCTTCTTGTAGACCAACTTTGCCATTGCTTCGTAGCCCGTTTCGGTAAAATGAACATCATCTTGCCAATACTGTTTTCGCTTTTCTTTGCTCATTGTTTTGTACTGTAATTCCTTATCAAAGTCTGCTAGTATCAGCAGTTCCTTGGTGTCCATACCAAAGTTTCGAATCTTGGCATTCAGAGCTTCACGGTTAGCCATTAAGGGATCACAACTCGGAGTTTGTTCTTCGCATTGCCATGCGGTGATTGTACCCAGTATTACCATGGCGTTTGTGCGTAGTGCCATTTCGCAAAATTTCTTAATATTCTCGAACAACTTGTCCAAAAATACCGAGTCATTTTCAAACAATTTCTTAAAATCATGATGCTTAAAATAACGAATTAAATCATTAGTACCCATCAGTATTATTACCCATTCGTACTGTTTTTTGCTCAACGCAGCTCTAAGCCTTTCTTGAGCAGTGCCAATAGCCCGATCACCGTTCAATCCGTGATTTTCGACGACAAAAACCACATCTTTGGAGTGCACACGATTTAAAGTTTTCATCAGACTTCGTGAATAAGGATGGTAAGTCTCCACAGGCTTGAATTTTATGAAACCTTTAGTAATAGAGTCACCAAAAGCGAGTATATTCCGCATTCTCCTCGGCGGTTTCTGTGGCATTGTCGTACAGAAGCTCCCATTGCACTGTGAATACCAGAAATGAGCTGCGGCACAAATTAAAACCAAGTCTGCTGCGAGAAAAGCCAGAAAATAGAGGCAGTATTTGCGGTTAAATGTCCTCGCATAAGGAGACGCTCGTAAGCTTCTAACGGCCATTGGTACTGAGTGTCAAGTATGGTCCGTATAAAACTCGAAAACGCTTCAGTTGCCAGTTTGAACCGAATGAACAATTCTTGGACGCACGGCACAGATTAAATAATAGTAAATAGAGTTAATTAATAGCGAACTTTTAAAAGCTTAAAAGCCTGTTAAAAAAGCGAATAACTAATGATAATAATAATAATATAAATAATATAATAATAATAACAATAGCGAACGTTTTAAAACTTAAAAGCCTGTTTCCACTTTCACCGTTATATCGTATAACATATCGCGGCATTTTCTTTTGTGTCGAAGCATTAGTTCCACCGTCTTGAGTCCTCAGCGGCTCAGCGGGAAACAAAGAAATTATTAGAAATACGCTACGCTTCGCTATGATACGGATGAAGTGGAAAACTGGTTTTTAAATTAAAAACTGTGTTTTTGTCAGTTTGTGGTAATCTTCAACATATACGACAAGGCATTTGTTAAGAATTTACAACTACTGGGGCTTAGTCTCACTGATAAGGGCCTTTTCCCCACACAGTTGATACGCCCGGGCACATATATAAAAAATCACTCTGTGCTCAGGGGCAGCGCTAACGCTACTTGAATAGGGGTTGCCGGGGTAGGTGTAAGTGAAATATTGCCCACTAATTTCAAACACTAATTAGATTAGTATTTCTTTTCATCCAACTGCCGGATTAGATAATTTGCCGACTACCTGACGATTGGGGTGTGTTCGGTGTTCCACACCCACAACTCACTTTTAGTTCCGCCCCCCTCCCTGTGCTGACTTTTATAAGAGGGAATGTCGAGAATGTGAGAGGATATGAGAAAGCAGGCAGAGCAGTGGCGCCGTGGCCGGGGGGCCAGGGGGCCCATGGCCCCCCTACTGTTGAGACCCGTCGGAAAATTTGGGGGGGGGGTGAAGATTTAAAATGTTGTCGTCCGGAAAATTTTTTGGTTTGTCGGAAAAATTTTTCAGTCTGAATCGGAAAAGTACTGCCCTTGCCCCCCCCCCCCAAAAAAAAACATGGGTCCCACGGCGCCACTGAGGCAGAGACAGCTTTTTCAACAAGGTTAATCTTTTACTAATGATCAAAAGGGCCCAGCGCATCTGAAAATCACGCTTCACTACAACAAAATCACGCTTCACTACTTCACTGGGGCAAGCAAAGGGCCTATTGGGCAAATGCCCCAGTAGTTATATAGTTAAAAAATGCCCTGACATACGACAAAACATAAGATTTTTAAAGTTTTGTGCTTCCGTGATGTAAAATGCCGCCAAAATTAGTCATACCAATTTTCGGTTGACGTCCATGTTGACAAAACAAAAAGCAAGCGACGTTTAAAAAGCTAAAAAAAGTGCCACGACTTTAAAAAGTGCCACTTTTGTTGTGTCCGTGATATGTCTCTAGAGGTCTGAAACAAGTTGTGCAACTTTTTTAGTTTTTTATTCAGTATTTTTTTGCCATTTGTTTTGTTCTTTAATTATGTGTCTTGTATTTGAAATGGAGACAAATGAACAGAATTGAATTATTGAAATGTATCGAGTCTGTATTTGCCGCTAAAGCCTAAACACAAGGTCAATAAGACAATATATGTGATGAACAATTTGCTCAACCATGTACAACACTGTGACAGACTGACAGTACAGTAAGCAACTGGTCATTGAGTATTTTAACTGCTATTTGTCTCGACTTATGTTTGTTTTTTTAGTTGTTTGTTTAATTATTTGTTTGTTTGTTTACTAACTTTCAATACTTGCAAATTTCACGAAATAACACTCCAGTGTTCTTGAGGGGTCTTTCGATCAGAGCAATTTATCACCAGGCCCCCGTGACGTCCTCGCGGTCAAAATAATAACAAGAACCCCCACAGAAGGATAGCACTTTTTTCCATCCAGCCTCTTCCATCTTCCGAAAATGACGTCAGGTCAGTTTGCTGGATGGAAAATAGTGCTAACCCATACAGACGTATGTTTGTTTTCATTTGCAAAATATAACAAATTTTTTTATTTGAAAATGTGAAATATGTCTGCAAATTTACAGGATTTTGAAGAAATTGTGTCAGACAGTGAGCAGAATTTATTACAGCAAGACCCTGTAAACGAAAGAGGTATATTTTAATTATTGAATATTGTCTTTTTATAAATATAAACAATTGGTATATTTTTTATATATTTTAATAAACATGCAGCACATGCTTACTGTAATTATGAATCATAGCAAGTTACAGCATGCTCATATAGTTTGTGTAAATTTATTTATTAATAGACGAGCTTGCTCTGTCCCAAGCTGCTGTGTTTATTGAAGATGCGTTTAAGGTATAGTAGCCGACAATTTATACGACGAATTAACGTGTTTTGCCAAATTTTTCATGTTATTTTAATATTTATAATAAATAACTTCAAAGCTGTGGTCAAGTCTGTTCTGTGCATGTGCTCTGTGAGGATCCTCTGATGTAAACAGTACCCAAATTTAGGGTTGTTTTGATTTTATAAATATGGTGTTTTCAAAATGTAAACAAACTCCACATCCGCTGAATCAGCCTGAATGGACTTGACCGCTTCTGTGATATTGTGTTTATATATACCGGTTTTCGCTACATATAAGGGATAACTGTCACAGAACCTCTATAGGGAGAACAGTTTAGAACTTATAGAGCTATCCAGTATAAATAAAGTCAGTGTAGTTCAGGTTTCCTCCTGTAGTAACACTGGATCAATAAGAGATGATCCTTACTGGACCTCTAAGGTGAACAGTTTAGAACTGGTAGGGCTACCAGGTATAAATAAAGTTAGTTTAGTTTTTCTGTTTCCTCCTGTAGTAACACTGGATCAATATTAGAACACTCCTACTAGACGTCAAGAGAGAAATAGGGATGAGCCGGTCAAGAAAAACTGAATCTACTGATCTGATAAATTCTGATCTGATTTATACCATCTGATTGATTATCAATATTTGTTGACAGATCAGTAACAGTGATGTCATTACGATAGTCGAGCATTGAATTTGCTCAATTTAGCAATCAGTTTATTTCGGAAAAGTATCCCGGTAAATGACTAGTAAATCTGACAGTTCCTCTGTGGAAAAGAATCTGTCCGACAAACCTGCACATTTGTTCTTGACAAAGAAAAGGAAATATCATAAACAAAAGCCAAAATTATATTTATTGGACTGCCAATACATGTCCATATTATCAGTGATGTAAGTACTCGTTACTAAAGTAACGGGTTACTAATTACTAATTACTTTTTGGGTAATTTTTCGTTAATTAATTACTTTTTGCACCAAAGTAATTTGTAACGTAATCAATTACTTTTTGAAGGTAACGAGTAACATTTTAAAGAATGTAATTTGCGTTACTTTTGGGCACTTTTATTATTTTCCAAAAAACGACGATGACGATGAATTTCTCAAGTCAAAGAAGAAGGCAACCAAATCGCCTTTAGATACCTGCTTGGCTTTAAACATTATTGATGCCACAGTTTACAATGGACACTGTGCTGCACCTTTGAAGCAAATGGCTTTGAAGTTAAACACCGTATTGCCTGCAAGTGCAGCTGTTGAACGTCTTCTCAGCTGTGGAGGCTTGATCATGCGCCCGCACCGAAATCGGTTAACTGGTGACCATTTTGAGTCGGCACTACTCTTAAAGCTGAACTCCAAATTTAATACCATTGCATGAGTCTTAACTCTTAACTTTGGAACTGCCTTTTGAATTAACATTTTGTTGTTGTTTAAGTCCATGAGAACTTGAAAGTAATTTCAAAGTAATTAGTAATTAATTACTTTTCAAAAATGTAATTAGTAATCGGTCATTATTTACATTTGAGAGACAGTAATAAGTAATTAGTAATAATTACTTTTTTGGAGAAGTAATTGTAATTTTACTTGTTACTTTTTTTTGGTAATTTTCACATCACTGCATATTATCGGCTGATAACTGATCTGCCTGAAAGTTGTCGAATATTATTGGCTCATCCCTTGAAAGAACAGTTTAGAACTGATAGAGCCGTCCAGTTAAATAGAGATTTTCTGTTTTAAGTACCGATCAATACATCACAAGATTGATGCAAGCTCCCTTAGATTATACAAGATTTATTACTCCAATTCATTTCAGTGGTGAGCATCTTGTTACAGTCAGCATTTCAAAAGCATTTCTGTAACCCATCTGTTGTTCTCCCTTCCCCATCAAACATCTTACGTTCCATCCGCTTTTCACTTTTTTCCAACTTACCTCATCTCATTACCTTCCCCCACTCTGACCTCCCTCTTTTCCATACCTTCCATCCTCTTCTTCCCCTTTCTATCTTTCCAATATAACTCACCTCTCCCCACCCATACCTTTCCCCTTCCTCCCCATTTCTCTATCTCCATATCCAACTTACCCCACCACATTACCTTTCCCCACTCTGACCTCCCTCTTTTCCACACCTTCTTCCATCCTCTTCTCTCCCTTTCTATCTTTCCAATATAACCCCCCTCTCCCCACCCATATCTCCCCCTTCCTCCCCATTTCTCTATCTTCATATCCAACTTACTCCACCACATTACCTTCCCCCACTCTAACCTCCCCCTTTCCCATACCTTGTATCCCTCGATATCTCCTTCCAATATAATCTCCCTCTCTTTCCATTCCCCATCCTCCCCATTCATCTATCTCCATATCCAACTTACCCCACCTCATTTCCTTCCCCACCTAACCTGCCCTCCTCCCCTATCCTCCATATCTCCTTCCAATATAGTCCCCCTCTCTTTCCAACCGCCCATTCCCCATCCTCCCCATTCATCTATCTCCATATCCAACTTCCCCACCTTAACCTGCCCTCCTCCCCCATCCTCCATATCTCCTTCCAATATAATCCCCCTCTCCCCACCCACACTTTTCTCCCCCTTCCTGTCCATTCCTTCATCTCCATATCCAACTTACCCCACTTCATTTCCTTCCCCCACCCTAACCTCCCCCTTTGCCATACCCTTCTTCCACCTCATCCTTTTCCCATTCTTCTTCATTATCAGGGTTGAATTTCATACAAACCTTGAAAGTCCTTGAATATCCTCATTCATCCATTTCATTTTCCAATCTTAGGAGTCTGGGTGTCGTGATTTTCATCAATTTATGTTTGGCATTTGTTGAGCCTCCTTCGTCTCTTTCGTGAGTATGAATGTGCTTCGGTTTTCATATTGTTGTATCGGTTGGAGTCAACTTGTTTGCTCTACTATTATTGTCGATTTCAAGTCAACAGGGACGCCGGAACGATAATAAGGCAAAGGGGGGCGGACGCACACCAAGGGCACCTCTATAGAGCAAAACTTCAAAATCTACCGGAAAAGGGGGTCAAAAAGGGGTCAAAAATTTTTTCAGGACATACCAAAATTTTCCGTGAAGTCAAAAATTTTTCCCCATATCTTACATTTTCGCCATTTCTTCAAAATATTTTTCTAAATTCCAAAAATTTTCAAAATTTTTTATAAATATAAACTATAAATTACCTGAATCTCATGATTTTCCTACAAAAACCATCGTTGGAAATGTGATTTATCACGTAGTATTTTACAACTAAAAGGGCACTTCTGCCCCCCCTGCCCCCCTAGCAAAAGGCAAGGGGGGCAGCCGCCCCCCTGCCCCCCCCCCCCAGTTCCAGCGTCCCTGCAAGTCAATTTTCAACGCGCGGGTCCCAAGTTCGTTGCAAACTTGCCAAGTACGTTTCCAAGTTCGAAAATTAGGCGTGAACTTCGCAAAAAAAGTTCGCAAGTTCATTTCAATGTTTGAACTGCTATTGTAAACAAATGTTCAAAGTTCAAGTTGAAATTACTGTATTAACAATTCAATGGGAAGTTCTTGGTCCAGTGGCCTACCAAGAACTTTGTTTTGAAGTTCACGCCCAATACTCAATAGACCTTTCCCCTTACAAGTGAAATTTTGATCTAGATATGCCTGGACAAAAATTTCATCACAGCTTGAAAGAGCATCACAAAGTGAGTAATATTCCGAAGTTTCGTTGCGAAATGTTGTAAAATGCGGATAATATAGCCTTGCGAGGTTTGCCGTTTTTCAGTCATTTTGCATTACAAACGGGAAATTGATAATCAGATGATCAAACTGATTATCAATTTCCCATTTGTAATAAAAAAAATGACTGAAAAACGGCAAACTTCGCAAGGCTATATTATCCGCATTTTACAACATTTCACAACGAAACTTCGGAATATTACTAATTTGTGATGCTCTTTCAAGCTGTGATGAAATTTTTGTCCAGACTTGTCTAGATCACAATTTCACTCGAAAGGGGAAAGGTCTATTACTCTATTTCCGAACTTGGAAACGTAATTGGCAAGTTTGCAACGAACTTGGCACCGTGCGCTGAAAAGTGACTTGAAATTGACAATTATAACTGTACATATTTGATTCACTTGAAACCAGATGGTCATCAGATCCGCGACATGGTTTCCACAACAAGAGAGTGAACGTTCCCTGTGGTGTGACAGAAAGTATTGAACTTGCTTGCGTGCTCTTTTACATTGTCGATCTAGGACTCAAGGTATGAGCAGAGAGGAAAAAAAGTGCTTCAGAAATGCGTTGCGATGTCGTACGATTTTCCATGTCCAAGTTTTGCCCAATTTTAATGTAGGAAATTGTAATGTTTCGCTAGCGTTTATCGCAGCCCTTCAGGTATCCGTTTGAAGTCCTGGCTAATAATAATTTGGGTATGACCAATACTGTTTTGCTCTACTGAGACTCCAGCTATTAATTGATGAGCGAAGCGAGTATGCAAAGAATGGAAGGTCGAAGCTTCAGGAGCGCTGTGAGTTGAGTGGTGGGCAAAGGCTTGACAGTTCTTATCTAGTTGACAATTCTTATCTTATCTAGTTTTCAAAGCGCAAGCCTTGACAGTTCTTGAATTTATAAAGATGTGCTTGAAGTCCTTGAAATCTTGTTGCTTTAGTTTTTGGATATTTTCTGAAATTTGTTTTCTGACATTTTTTAATTGATTTTCTCATGTCTTACAAAGCTCTTTCAAACTTCGTTGAAGTTGCTATTTAAAAATTTTACTGTCACTGTTCACTCACTTCTGACGCCTTATTTTCAGCCAAATTAGTTTCAGTAAATTTCCTGATATCTGTACGATCTATACGAACTGTGTTTTGAACTTTTTAGATGGTTTTATTTGGCAAAAAGCAGGTTTACAAAAGCAAATGGCTTTGGGGATATGTGCTTGTCTTGGCTATTTCCATTGTTGATTGGCTAGTCAGTGTTACTTTGGGCTGTAATGAGGTGAAAAGAATTGCTATTTTCATCAGTATATTTAGTAGCTATTCACCTACACATGCCGTAAAAATCTCACAACTTGTCAACAAGATTTGTTCGCAACAGGATTGTCCACACGGCAAAACGCACAAGTTGTTACAGGTCTGCAAACAAGTTGTTACAAATCTGTTCACAAGCTGTCGACAAGTTGTGTTCGCACTGCTTGTTCCCAGTTGTTGTAATAAGTTTGGAACAAGCTGTTAACAACTTGTAGCAAGCTTGATGGCATTATCAGACTTGTTACAAGGTTGTTCTAACAAGTCTGATACAGTCATGATATACCAAGAATGCCACAAGGTTGTAACAATATTGTTACATCATGACTGTATCGGACTTGTTGGAACAACCTTGCAAAACCTCTGATAATATCATCAAGGTTGTTACAAGTTGTTAACAGTTTGTTTCAAACTTTTTCTGTGTTGGTGTTGTGTACTCAGGTGAATATGATATTTGTGGTGCTACTCTGAGTGTATATCCACACCGGGCGAGCTTGAAAAATATGCCCGGCCACGGTGGGATTCGAACCTACGACCTTTGGAATACTAGCCCAATGCTTTTCCAACTGAGCTACGCGGTCAGGACGGTTCGAGTAAGTGATATTTCGGAACAGAATCTAGTTCCTTCGATACCAATGTATTCTAGTAATATGATTTTTTTCTGTGTTGGTGTTGTGTACTCAGGTGAATATGATATTTGTGATGTTACTCTGAGTGTATATCCACACCGGGCGAGCTTGAAAAATATGCCCGGCCACGGTGGGATTCGAACCTAGGACCTTTGGAATACTAGCCCAAAACCTTACTCGAACCGTCCTGACCGTGTAGCTCAGTTGGAAGAGCATTGGGCTAGTATTCCAAAGGTCATAGGTTCGAATCCCACCGTGGCCGGGCATATTTTTCAAGCTCGCCCGGTGTGGATATACACTCAGAGTAACACCACAAATATCATTGTTTCAAACTTGTTGACAACTTTGGACAAGCAGTGCGAACACAACTTATTGACGGCTTGTTGGCAGACTTCCTACAAGATGTGAGATTTTTACGTTTGTAGCAAGCTTGTCAACAAGTTGTAACAATGCCGAAACCTGGGTATCTTAAACTCACTAATAAGGCAAAATCGGCCCGATACCGAGTATCGGTCAACACTAAAAAATTGCGCCGTGAAACTTTAAGAATTATGTACTGTATACCTTCAATATTTTTGTTCACTTTTCAGATCTACCGCTTTCGTCGTCTATTGCGTCCGTATTTTCTCCTACAAAGTTCATCGCTAATGAAAAAAACTGTAAGTTACTTGTGGTGGTAAATTAATTCGTAAGCGAGATCTTAAAAGCCTACTTTTGCATAATCATGCATGGATTTAAATTATGTTTGATTTAGGTTAGGGCCATTGGAAGAACTGTCCCACAGATTTTAAGGTTGGTATAGAAATTTACTGTATCTATTTTATAATTTATGAATAAGTTTATAATTAATATATCCAACAAAATATTAAAAGGGTTGCCTGTTAAGCCAAAATACCTAGCTGTGTAACACATTGTACATTTGCACATATAAAAGCGGTGCATTGCAACGAGTTGAACTTTGATATTTTCAATAATATTTTTTAACAATGATATTCTCTTTCAGTGTGTTTTTTCTGCTGTTTTTACATCTGGTAATCTTCACTTTTCTTGGAATGTTGCTGCTGTCAACTTCCGAGGTACAAGCTAACTTTATTGATACTGGATAGCTCCGTTAGTAGAGACTGTTCTATGCGGAGGTCTAGTTTAAAGGCACATGGTTCAGCCTTTTGAATGATGGTATTTAAGGCGCATTTCAGCCCTTTTAATTGAAAAAACTAACTAGGAAAATCAAATTAAAAGCACAATTGAAGATCAGCAAACTTAATGTTTTTAACATTTTAAAACATTTTTAATATTAAAAACATTGATCTGCAGGATGCGATAATTCGCGTACTTACGTACCGGAGGTACGCCAATATTACTGTCTGGTACTTCTTTGTTTTCAGCCACGTACCACGTGTAGGTACGCGGAACTCTTGCTATCTGCGTACTTATTTTTTGCTGGTACCACATGACCTTTCCAAACCCAAGGTATTCAATACCGTAATTTAGTTGCTATATCATGTGTCTGAGATGTCTTGACATGAAACATGATTGCACTGATGGCACTAAGAAACGTTGGAGTCGGTTGTTTGAAATAGCAAAACCCCGTTTTTAAATAGCAAAACACCCTTTTCAAATAGCAAAACTCCCTTTTCAAATAGCAAAACTCCCTTTTCAAATAGAGAACTCCCTTTTCAAATAGCAAAACTCTGTTTTCAAATAGCAAGACTCCCGTTTCAAATAGCAAAACTCCCTTTTCAAGTAGCAAAACTCCCTTTTCAAATAGCAAAACACCCTTTTCAAATAGCAAAACTCCCTTTTCAAGTAGCAAAACTCCCTTTTCAAGTAGCAAAACACCCTTTTCAAATAGCAAAACTCCCTTCTCAAATAGCAATACTCCCTTTTCAAATGGCAAAACTCCCTTTTCAAATAGCAAAACACCCTTTTCAAATAGCAAAACTCTGTTTTCAAATAGCAAAACTCCCTTTTCAAATAGCAAAACTCCCTTTTCAAATAGAGAACTCCGTTTTCAAATAACAAAACTTTGTTTTCAAATAGCAAAACTCCCGTTTCAAATAGCAAAACTCCCTTTTCAAGTAGCAAAACTCCCTTTTCAAATAGCAAAACACCCTTTTCAAATAGCAAAACTCCCTTTTCAAGTAGCAAAACTCCCTTTTCGAATAGCAAAATACCCTTTTCAAATAGCAAAACACCCTTTTCAAGTAGCAAAACTCCCTTTTCAAGTAGCAAAACTCCCTTTTCAAATAGCAAAACACCCTTTTCAAATAGCAAAACTCTGTTTTCAAATAGCAAAACTCCCGTTTCAAATAGCAAAACTACTTATTTTTTGCTGGTACCACATGACCTTTCCAAACCCAAGGTATTCAATACCGTAATTTAGTTGCTATATCATGTGTCTGAGATGTCTTGACATGAAACATGATTGCACTGATGGCACTAAGAATAGCAAAACTCCCTTCTCAAATAGCAATACTCCCTTTTCAAATGGCAAAACTCCCTTTTCAAATAGCAAAACACCCTTTTCAAATAGCAAAACTCCCTTTTCAAATAGCAAAACTCTGTTTGCTATCTCGTAGTCTGAACATACTTTTCAGAAACCTGTACTTTATGAACCTTATTTTTAAAGACTAAGTACACATTGAACATTGAGCATTGAGTTTGTTCTAGCGCAAGTACGCGGCAACAACCATTGGCGTACCAGTCAAGTACGACTAGAAATCTTGAATGATCAGGTACGACTAGAAATCTTGAATGATCGTACCCTGATACAGATCGGATGCGAATGGATTGAAAAAATTGATTATCTAGTCATAGAGATGACAGACACAATCTAAATACTGAACCTGGCGTTTTTAGGTCGCTGTTACCAATGTTATGTCAAATCATACAAATACGTCAACCAATGGGGTACGTTACAAAATTCTTTATAAATTTGTGAAGATGGAAATGTTTTTGGACGGTCTTTACCGTAAATTACCATACAGTGTATCCTGAAAAATATTCATTAACTTTTACCTTCAGAGTTCAGGAGGTAATGAAAGCACGAATATAAATGTGCATCGTCATGAATATTTTGGCACAAATTTTGGCGATAGTTTCATGAAGTTGCTGGTGCTTCTAACAACAGCCAACAATCCTGACGGTATTGTACCTTACATTGTTTTGTATCTGTATGGTTCTATCAGTTCTAAACTTTTCTTCGTAGAGGTCCAGCAAGAGTCATTTCTTATTGATCCAGTGTTACTACCGGAGGAAACCTAAAATAAAATAACTTTATCTATTCTGGATAGCTCTAAATCAGTTCTAAACTATTCGTCCTGTAGAGGTCCAGTAAACATCATCTCTTATTGACCCCGTGTTACTACAAGAGGAATCCTAAACTAAACTAACTTTATTTATACTGGATAGTTCTATCAGTTCTAAACTTTTCTTCCTAGAGGTCCAGTAAACATCATCTCTTATTGACCCCGTGTTACTACAGGAGGAAACCTAAACTAAACTAACTTTATTTATACTGGATAGTTCTATCAGTTCTAAACTTTTCTTCCTAGAGGTCCAGTAAGAGTCATTTCTTATTGATCCAGTGTTACTACCGGAGGAAACCTAAACTAAACTAACTTTATCTATTCTGGATAGCTCTAAATCAGTTCTAAACTATTCGTCCTGTAGAGGTCCAGTAAACATCATCTCTTATTGACCCCGTGTTACTACAAGAGGAATCCTAAACTAAACTAACTTTATTTATACTGGATAGTTCTATCAGTTCTAAACTTTTCTTCCTAGAGGTCCAGTAAGAGTCATCTCTTATTGATCCAGTGTTACTACAGGAGGAAATCTAAACTAAACTAACTTTATCTATTCTGGATAGCTCTATCAGTTCTAAACTGTTCGTTCGTCCTATAGAGGTCCAGTACAGATCATCTCTTATTGATCCAGTGTTACTACAGGAGGAAATCTAAACTAAACTAACTTTATTTATACTGGATAGCTCTATCAGTTCTAAACTATTCTCTGTATATAGAAGTCTAGTAAGTGTCATCTCTTATTGATCTAGTGTTACTTCAGGAGGAAACCAAAAACTAACTAAACTAACTTTACTTATAATGGATAACTCTATAATATTTTCCCTTTAGTAATGATGCCTGCGTATAAAAACAACAGACTGTATGCTGTGTATTTCATTATTTTCACCTTTATTGGTAAGTCAAATATCAGCAATTTTGTGGAAAATACCATCCGTTAGGTCAAATCTTCTCAACGTTGAAACTTTATTCATTTTCACAGGACTATACTGTTTCATGAATCTTCTACTAGCGGTTGTGTACTCGCAGTTTCAAGGCTATTTGAAGGTACTGGAAGTTATGGAACATATAGATAAATCCACTAAATAATACTAGATTAGTTTGTGTCAGTGTTAAACTGTTCTCCTTAGATGTTCAGTGAGGGTTATCTCTGACGTCGGTTCAATGGTTTCTCTTGGGAGAAACCTCTGTCAAACTGCGCACTGGAAGCACTTTTCGCACATGTGACTGAGGTGGAATTATAATCAGGCAAGAGCATATTAAACAGGGTTCGTAGCGATCTTTGAAATCCTTGAAAGTCTTTAAATTTGAATGCAGGTCTTTGAAAAGTCTTTGGATTGTGTGAAAAAGCGAAGAAAGTTTTTAAAAGTCTTTAAATTCTTTAGTGAGTATTTCATTATACGATTTCCTAGCTAATAGAATAGATTGATTGAAGCAAGATTTTCGCAAATATCGACGAAAATTCTCAGCTCATTGCTCTCAAAGGTCTTTGAAAAGTCTTTGACAATAGGCAGAAAAAATCTTTGAAAGTCTTTGAATATTTTTGGTCTTGGAGACTACGAACCCTGTTAAAGAAATCGAGTCACGGAGTTAAGATGCGCACCACACCTTGATTTGCAGTATCAAAGTTTCAGTGATCACAGTAGGAATTTTGCACAGGTAAATGCTAAGTTTTGAAGGATTTGCAAGAAAGGTTTGAGGGAACTAACTTAGTGTTTAACACTCCATCAAAACTTTGAATTTATCTTTATGCAAAATTCCTACTGTGATCACAGAAACGTTCATTGATAGTGCAAAGCTTAACCACTGGACCTCATTTTCAGAACTCGTTACAATCGAGCTATTTTCGTTTGCGAACTGGAGTCCGTGCTGCCTTTGAAGTATTGAGAGAACGAGCCTTTGACCAGGCCGCCAGTTCTTCGATGGATAATAGGTATGGTCCACTGAGCTATGATTAGGTCCTACCTCGATCTACAGTAGTATAGTTGTCTGGTGTAAATAACTAAAATAAGGCGTAAGTCTAGACTTGCCCAAGTCGCTCGCTAGGGACCGCGCGTAGCAAGAAGGGAGCGCTTGAGAAAGACGGAAGCGAGCGACTTGTGTCACTTGCCTGATTTTGAATCTTACTGAAAAATTTGGCGCGAAAATCAATTATGACATAGTGGGCGTTCACCATGTCGATTTCACTAGTTCATTATTGTTTTGGCGTCGTTAGTACAGAATATTGTTGATATTATCAGACTTGTTGCTAGGTTGTTCCAACAAGTCCGATACAGTCGTGATATAACAATATTGTTACAACCTTGTGTCGTCAACCTTGTAACATCCGTGTTATATCATGACTGTATCAGACTTGTTAGAACAACCTTGTAAGAAGTCTGATAATGCCATCAAACTTGTTACAAGTTTTTAACAGCTTGTACCAAACTTGTTACAACAACTGGGAACAAGCAGTGCGAACACAACTTGTCGACAGCTTGTCAACAGATTTGTAACAACTTGTTTGCAGACTTGTAACAACTTGTGCGTTTCTACGTGTGTAGTTTTAACCGCGTGATGGAATTGTTATCTAAGATAATTCATATAAAATTTCACTTGCATTCTGCTGTAGTACTGTATCGACCTTGCTCACCCGACGGTTGATTCAGAGAGTTGACTTTGGACGCAAAAACATCGACGTTATTTGGGATGTAAGTATCGTTTGGTCAGCATAATTTTGTATATTTTTTTCGAAATATCACATATTCGAACCGACCTGACCGCGTAGCTCAGTTGGCAGAGCATCGGGCTAGTATTCCAAAGGTCGTAGGTTCGATTCCCACCGTGGTCAGGCATATTTTTCAAGCTTGCCCAGAGTGGATATACACTCAGAGTAACATCACAAGCATCTTATTCACCTGAGTACATTACACCAACACAGAAAAAAATTTGTGCTGTTAACTTCAGTTCGGAAAAATTAACATTTTAATGATCGACAGTATTATTTATTATTATCAGATTTTAGATCGTAATCGCCGTGGTCAACTGACAGCCAAACAATTCCAGGATTTATTTGATTCAGTTTCAAGACAACAAACGGTTCAGGTCAGTGACAATTTCCAAGAAAAATATCTATGAGAGCTTCATTTCTAAGAATATCTCCAACTCCACGGTCAAGGCCGGATTTTGCTGGAATTAGTGGAGGAGATGGAAAACAATTTAGGGGAGGTGCAGTGGTCTAGCTCACGACCCCCATGGAAAGTTAGGGCTTAGAACGGGCCAAAGTGAACGACGTGACGTATGCATGTAATGTACATATGTATCAGTGTATTAATGAATTACGACTGTGCAACGCATCCAATTTTGCCCTTCATTACAATACTACAAAGTTTCTTTCAAAACATTGCATTAAAATGGTACTTCACACAGAGATAGTGTATTGTAGTATAGTGTCTAAAGTAGTATAGTGTCTACAGTAGTATAGTGTCTATTGTAGTATAGTGTCTATTGTAGTATAGTGTCTATTGTAGTATAGTGTCTATAGTGGTATAGTGTCTATAGTGGTATAGTGTTTACAGTAGTATAGTGTATTGTAGTATAGTGTCTATAGTAGTATGTCTACAGTAATATTGTAGTATACTATACCTCTAATAGAACCATTTCTCTCTAGCACCCTCCTCTCAGTCGCTGTACAAACCACTACCTTCGCCTACTGCAGAAAATGGTTGTACATGACTTTTTCAATTATTTTGGTCTCTTACTTGTCGCAATCAATGTTGTTATAATATCAGTGAGTATATTTTAACTAGACTAAATTAACTTTATTTACTGGATAGCTCTATCAGTCCTAAACTGTTCTTCCTAGAGGTCCAGCAAGGATTATCTCTTATTGATTCAGTGTTACTACAGGAGGAAACCTAAACTAAACAACCTTCGTTTATACTGGACAGCTCTATCAGTTCTAAACTGTTCTCTCTAGAGGTCCAGTAAGGATCATCTCTTATTGATCCAGTGTTACTACAGGAGGAAACCTAAACTAAACTAACTTTATTTATACTGGATAGCTCTATCAGTTCTAAACTGTTCTTCCTAGAGGACCAGTAAGGATCATCTCTTATTGATCCAGTGTTACTACAGGAGCAAACCTAAACTAAACTAACTTTATTTATACCGGATAGCTCTATCAGTTCTAAACTGTTCTTCCTAGAGGTCCAGTAAGGATCATCTCTTATTGATCCAGTGTTACTACAGGAGGAAACCTAAACTAAACTAACTTTATTTTTACTGGATAGCTCTATAAGTTCTAAACTGTTCTTCCTGGAGGTCCAGTAAGGATCATTCTTATTGATCCAGTGTTAATACAGGAGGAAACCTAAACTAAACTAACTTTATTTGTACTGGATAGCTCTATCAGTTCTAAACTGTTCTCCCTAGATGTCCAATAAGGATGTCCAGTAAAGATCATCTCTTATTCATCCAGTTTTTCAAGTAATAATTGAAGAATCGTTTTGTGAAAGACACTTGCCATAATCATTTCTGTATTTCAAGGTGGAGCTATCAAGACATTTTGATAAGAACACGTTTTATGTTCACTCCACCCTGGCTGTAAGTATTGTATGGATTATCATAATGCTTCTGCAATTATTATAGAAAATTAAGAGTATTCAATCTTTTCTACAGGCTGTTGACTTCTTTTTCATAGTCTATTACTTTTTGGAACAGGTAGGGCATCCCAAAAATTCCATCTGAGGATATAGTAGCACTTTAAGTGAAAAAATAATTTGATCATCTCTCCGGTTGTTCTTTGCAGTGTCTTAAAATCTGGGCAATTGGTTGGCAACGTTATATAACACATAAGGTATATGTGCTGCTAGGATGTTTGGACAGCTATTGGAACTTGACAGTTTGACCCTCAATTTTTACTGATGTTTTACTGAAACTTTGTTTATAGCAAAATATATTTGATGGTGTCATAACATTAGCGTTAGTGGTAAGTGAATTACAGTATTTGTTTGCAATGTACGAAACAATCTTCAGATAAAAGTTCCATCTTGAAACTCTTAGAGAAAAATTTATAAAAATTAAAGGTCTTAATAGAGAATATAATCTTCGAAGTAATGATACTGATCTAGCACTTCCAAAACCTAAAACAAACTTATCTTAAACGAAGTTTTAAGTATAGTGGTGCAATGCTGTGGAATAGTTTTCCTTCTGAGGCGAAAAAGGCATCCTCGCTTTACCAATTTAAGCGCAGTATGCCCACTATACCGGAGACTAGGACGTGAGTTAAGATAGTTTGTAAGTATAACACGCCCCATCTGAAAATCAATTCATTGTATTTTTACAAATATGTTGTGTATGGCCAGCGTGGTTAAGTTTGTTGTAAGTTTACTTGATTTATATATGGGTCTAATCGTTTTATAGGTCACTCAAATTGTTGATATTTCGATGTATGGCTCGCCATTGGAGACAG